CGACGTCCATGTAGCGTCCGCTGCTCACCACGCGCAACGCCATACAAACCCGCCCTGAGAGGTGCGTCGGATGATGCATCATCCACCGCAGCGACTCCCCCTCCGCGAGGGTGACCAGGCCGAAGTGAAGGACGTGCATTTCATCCTCACTGGAGTGTAGAGGAAGCCATTCTAGCGACAGAAACACATTCTTCAAACGACGCTCGCCGGCTCCGTGCCAAGCCTCGCGGTAGTTGTTGTCGCTCACTTGAATCGCGGAATCCACAAAAAGCAGCGGCCGCTGCGGTCGGACGCGGAGACGGCGGAGCGGGTAGAAGCAGCTGCCCTGCGTGGGGTAGTCCCTTCCGTGCGTCTCGAGTGTCTCCACCCGCCACGGGATGTGGAACTCATCGTCACGTGACGCCACAGAAACCCGCTGCTCCTCCTGCTCCTGCTCCGTGCACGACCTCGGAGTCTAAGTTCTTGGAGGCGTCTGCACCCATTGCGGCCGTCAATTCCGTCCTGCGAATCGCAAGCGAGGAGGGCAAGCGCCGTATGAGATCGTCAAGAAACTGCTGCGACACCGCATCGCCGGCAATGAGTGCCTGCGGCCTCTCTTGCATGTGCTCCACTAAGTGCAGCAGGAACGGAACGGGGGTGCCAATAAACGAGTCCACCGGGTACGCAACCGGTTCACGAAATTCCTGAATCGCAGCGCAGAGGAGGGAGACGTTGGGCAGCGGTGGTGAGTCCTCCACGACGCTCACGCATGGCCGCTGCATGTGAAACCGCCGGGAACGCGCCATGTCAGTGTAGAGGTCTCGATGTGCATGGAAGTGCATGGAATCTGCTAGGAGGCACTGCAGAGCTTTCTTGCGCCACACGTTTGCCAGCTCCTGCATGCTTAGCTTGATAAACTGCAAACTCTCCATTTGCATTGTGTTGAGCAAGAGCCAGGCAGGGATGTCAAGGCGACGGTTGCCCGCCGTCGCACCGCCAAGCGTGGCGTGAATGCGTGAGAGGACCTCAGGAATAAGGTAGACTCGCAGCCGCCGCCCCCTGCCCACACCCCGCATGCGGTAGGCTCCCTGTGCGTAGTCGCGGAAGACAAGATCCTTCCCCAGCGTCGCCACCGCCGTAACCGATGCCGCCTTCTCCACATCCGTCCCTGTTGTGTGGACCTGATCAAAGAACGTAAAGCGCCGCGTGAGCACGACACCAGACTGCGCCACTTGGCACCTTCGGTCCGTTGCTGCGCTGCAGAATCATTTGCTGATCTTTAC